CACCCCTTTTGAAAATACATTCACAAAATGTTCAAGGCTTCAATTCGCCTCAGAAACGGGCTAAAGTTTTTCATCACCTCAAATCGCAACAAATTGATGTGGTATGTCTACAGGAGACCAGGTTTTCTCAGTCCTCCGCGTTATCTTTCACCTCACTATCCCATCTTTTACACGGCCTCTGCTCCTGAGAAGCGCTGGGGTGTTCTGATAGCTTTTAAACGCAATCTCCCCTTTGTCTGTTCTAGGCATATAGCGGGACCCCACGGGCAGGTATTTGCTTCTGCAAGGCACCCTCTGGGACCAGGAGGTTACCTTTGTCTCTTACTACGCGCCTAACCGTTTCCAGCATAAATTCTTTTTCGCATCTTTGCACCATTGTTTCTCGACACTCTAAGGGTCTTCTTCTTGTTATGGGGGATTCGAATGTTACCTTGGATTCCACATTGGATAGGCGCTACGCACGGGGAGCGACTCCCTCTCATGACTTGGTGCTAGAGGAACGTATGCGCTCTCTTTTGCGGACGGCGGGGCTAGTGGACGTCTGGAGGGAACTTCATCCAACTGAACGCGACTTTACGTTCTATTCCAATCCTCATGACAGTTTTTGTAGAATTGATCATATATTCATGCAGGTCCAGCAGCTCCCCTCGGTCCGGCGGATAAGTATTCCCTCCTCACCCTGGTCAGATCATGATCCCTTGGTACTCCTCCTTGCCCTTTCTGGGTCAGAACGGCGCCCTTTTCATTGGCGCATCAATGACTCTTTGCTGACCACTCAGGCTACCTGCCAACAAATAGAATTCTTTTTACAAACGTACTTTGCGGAAAATTCGGGATCGGTCTCTTCAGCAGTGCCCCTTTGGGAAGCGCATAAGGCCACGATGTGGGGTCATGTTATACAGCTGGCTGCGGTCCGGAAGCGGGAGCGGGAACGCCGACTCTTGGAGCTTCATTCTCTCCTGGCCTCTGCGTGTTGGAAGTCATCTCCATCCGTGGCCCATAAACGCGCTCGGGGCGCTCTGGCGACAGAATTGGACCTCCTCGCCCCTTCGGAGGCGGAACGAGCCCTGCGTTGGACCAGACATAAATTTTACTCCTGAGCTGATAAGCCCGGTCCCATGCTAGCCAGGAAACTCAATTCTGTGGGGAAACCCCATAAACCGATTCGACTTCGACTTTCCACAGGTGGCTGTACTTCTAATCCCCAGCAGATTGTTTCCCGATTTTCGGACTTCCTTTCGCGCCTCTAAGCTGCCCCAGATCCTTTCCCTGTGGCCCAGGCAGAGGCATTCTTTCAAGACCTCCATCTTCCCGGATTAACCGAGGCAGCACAGGCGGCCTTCAACGCTGGTGTCACCGTACCGGCGGCCTTCAACGCTGGTGTCACCGTAACCGGAAGTGCTCCAAGCGGTCAAATCTTTACGGTCCACAGTGGCCCCAGGTCCCGACGGCTTCTCCGGTCTCTATTATAAAAAAATTCTCAGCCCTATTGGCGCTCTTTTTAGCGGCCTATTTCAATGAGTTACGACAGGGCTCTTTGCCCTCTCCGGACGCACTTAGGGCACATATCTCTATGATTCCTAAGACGACCGACGATGTCCAGAAACCGCAAGCCTTCCGGCCCATTTCTCTTCTTAATGAAGACCTGAAGATATTGGGCAAGATCCTTAGTTTTCGCATCAATAAATATTTGTGTAGCCTGGTCCACCGGGACCAAGTAGGGTTCATCCCCGGAGGCAGGCGGGTGATAACGTCCGTAAGGTGGTCCATCTTATACATTTTCTGCAACAACGGAAAATCCCAGGATAGCTACTGTCCTTGGACATATATAAAGCTTTTGATTCTCTATCTTGGGAATATCTGCGGTTTGTGCTGTCTCGTTGGGGTTTCGGGGATTCTATTCTCTCTTGGATTCAGGCCTTGTATTCCTTTCCTTCGGCCTCCGTTAAATACGCTGGGTATTTCTCGGATCCCTTTCCTGTTGGGCGAGGGACGAGGCAGGGTTGCCCGCTGTCCCCGCGCTCTTTGTCCTGGCGCTTGAGCCACTGGCTTTAGCACTCCGACCGATTGCAATATATCGGGGGTTCCATACGCGGGACAGGAGTTTAAGCTGAGCCTCTTTGCGGACGATGCCCTCTTGACCCTTACTAATCCTCTGACGACGCTTCCTAACTTGCAACGAGTTCTTGAGCGCTTCTCCTTGATTTCGGGTCTACGTATCAACTTGGATAAAACCGTCGCTCTCAATATTACTTTGGCTTCAGATTTGGTTTCGCGCCTACAATCCCACTTCCCTTACCGGTGGGCTTCCTCTTTTCTGGAATACTTGGGCATTCGCTTGACCCCCACCTATGACTCCCTTTTTGCTGCAAAAATTATTATCCTTTGCTTATCTCTTTATCTTCTCTTATGCATTCTTGGCAATTTCCGCACCTGTCTTGGATAGGACGGGTTCATTCAGTGAAAATGACCATCTTGCCGAAATTGTTATATTATTTTCACACCCTCCCGGTGCGGGTTCCCCCTCACTTTCTTCGGTTGCTTCAGGCGAAGTTTATGCGTTTTATCTGGGCCGATAAACACCCGAGTCTCTAGAAATACGCTCTTTGCTCATAGACTCCAGGGTGGTCTTGGGGTACCCAATGTAGCTAAGTATTATCAGGTGAGCCAGATTGCCCCGCTGTCTATGTTGCACGCTTCCTCCGATTTTCCTCTCTGGGTCCTGCTGGAACTACCTAATTGTGCCCCTATCGCACTGTCGACACTCCTATGGCTTCCCCCCTGCCCTGCGCCCTGCGCCCTATGGTGCTGAGTCCGATGTTGCTCCATGGCCTACAAGTCTGGGACTCGGTACGTTACTCCAGTGGCCTGATGTCAGCCTTTTTGCCCTTGCTTCCAATCGTTAACAACCCTCTTTTCCCACCGGGTCTAGATTGCCCGAGGGCATTTTCTTGGTGGGTGGCTCATGGTTTCTCACAGGTGCAACACTTTTTGACTTTTCGGTCCTTTCCCGCCTGGAATGTCCTTCGGGAGTCTCGGGATGTTCCCCCAGCGGAATTTTTTCGGTACCTTCAATTGCAGCACTGGCTACTTTCGCTGAGGGCCACTTCTGCTTTCCCATATCAGAAATCTGCCTTTGAACGGCTTTGCCAGCAGCACCCGGGCGCCCCGGGCCTTATCTCCCTTCTTTACGCAGCTTTGAACAGACGCTTGTCTCACACTTCTCTTTCATATGTTGTTCAGTGGGAATGCGACCTGGAAGTGGCTGTGGATCTGGAGGACTGGAGTAGGGCCTGGTCACTCCTAGCTAAATGTTCATTTAATACGACCACGCTGGAAGCAGCCTACAAGGTATTGTTCCGTTGGTACTGGGTTCCGGCTCGTCTGGCCCAGGCTAACCCTGCCTGTAGTGATCGATGTTTTCGGGGTTGTGGCCATCGTGGCGATGTACTGCATATCTGGTGGTCATGCCCGAGGTTGGTTCGTTCGTTTTTGGTCTCGTGTGTTTGGCCTCCTTTTCACTTTGTTCCATCTCTCCATACGCCGGGATGCTCGGTATGCTTTGCTTCATTGCCCCATACCGGGCCTCTTGGCTCGTCGGCAGCGGTTGGCTTCCTATTTGTTTTTATCGGCTACTAGGACAATTGCTCAGGCCTGGAAGAGTCCGTTTGTACTTTTCCAGGGGGTGCGGGATCGTATGACTACTATGATGCTCAACGAACAGATGTCGAGTATATGCAACGACTCTCAACATAAATTTTTGAAAGTATGGGAGCCGTGGTTGCAATACGCCTTTCCCACGCTCCCCCCGGCCAGTGTGGGGAGGTAATGGAGTTTGGTATTGGCGCTCGTGGACCCCTGCTCTTTGGTTTTTTTTTTTCTTTTTTCCCCTTTCTTCTCTGCTCTTCTTCTCTCCTTTTCTGTTTGTTTTGATGTGACAGTGGACAACTGTCTTTAGTTGCGATAGTCAGAGTCTTACTGATGTTATTGTAACCTATGTGCCATTGATAGCCCCTGCGTGGGCATACGTTTTGCCTTATTGGAATTAGAGCGTTGTCTGCTCTATTATGCCTTTTTTATTGGTGCAATTGATAGCCCCTGCGTGGGTGTGTTTTGTTGCCTCTGTTTTATACTGTTTAAAATTAATAAAAACCATTGAAATACAAAAATCATATCAAACTGTTTGAAACAACAAAATTTTAGTTCTGAACTAATTTTCATCTGAATGTTGTATCGTGATCTAAAGAGCTCTATTACAGCAGCACATCTACTGTATAAACATACTTCAATTGAGACACAGTATATAGGAATGGGCCAACATACCCAACAACTAATGTGCAGGCTCGTTTAGGGGCTGCAGAAGGTTTGAGCCTTACATCATTAAAATATGTTTCTTAAAGTACTTTAGGCAAAACTTTTTTTTTTTCACTTTGGAAAGAGTAAGGGAGGGTTATAATCCCTGTTAGAATTTTTTTTCACCATCTTTGTCTCATTTCGGAGATTTCTCTTAACTTCCTGTTCCATAGCCAAACAGGAAGTGAGAAGCAATCCCTGCAAATTGAAAGAATTCCTTGGGGACCCTCAGGTCACCAGAATTAGTGTCCCCACTGGAAGATTTCCCCTCTGTTACTCTTCTGGGGACAACCCAAAATTTGGGATTTTCTTTACATACACTTTCAATGATAATAGTAAACAGCACAAATAGAGAGGGTGAATCTCCTTAATGGGGGCACAGACAGAAATAAAAACTGACAGGGGTTCTAATCCTTCTCCACTCTGTCCAAAACTACAAAAAACTTTTACCTTTAGTTATACTTTAATTTCCATAATCACCTCGATCTTTATAACTAGTTGTTCATTGAAGACTGTCTTTATTATTATGGATTAGATGAAGACCCTATTAAATTTTTTTATTGTAGAATGTCAGAATAATGCTTTGATTTCACGTATTATGTATCACATCTATTCTTGAGTAAATGAAGAACTTATGTTGTTGGTAGGTGGTGCCTCTGTCTCAGAGAAGTGGTGTTCTGGAGTGGTGCTCTGGCACAGTTCCTATTGGTGAATACCTAGTGAATTCTGATGATGGTGCTCACACACGTTACCGGCCAAGAGATTATAGCAGTTTACAGTGCCAGAAGAAAATGATGGTTTGTTCTTAATATTCATTTCCTTTTTCTTTTTTTTTTTTCTTTTTTATTTATCAGATTTTTCTGGTGAATATGATAGAACATGAATCCACTAGATGAACCCAACAATCTAAGCTGTCCACCTCACAATAAGGCCCCTTTCACACATTCGGACCCTTCGTTTCATCAGTTCAGTCACATTTTTTCAAAGCAAAAATGCATGAAGTGTACATCAGTTTCACATAGTTTCTCATCAGTTTCTCAACAGTTTACCATCAGTTTTTTTACACCCACTACCAATTCAAAAACAGATTGTTAGTTTTCAACCGTTTTTTATCTGTTCCGTTTTTTTTAGCAAAACAAAAATAGAGCTTTGATCTGATGTTGAAGAATGCGGATGTAAACAGATGATCATCCATTTACATCCGTTTTTTCCCATCGAGATGTATTGATGTCCATTTTTCATCCGTCAATGGATGGATGAAAAATGGGCAAATGGCCCGAAGATGTGAAAGGGGCCTTACTCTTTAATCTCTATCAAGATTGCACATACATGCACAAACAGAATTATGAAATGCTGTTAGGGATTCTTGAAATTTCAGTCACATCCTCTGTTAATCTTGGTCAGTGTGGCAGTCTGTCATGAGGTTGAACCCAATAGTGAGGGGAAGGGATTGGACCAAAACTGGCTAAGAACTGAAGTATCTGTTTGAATATTAGAACTGTTGGGGGGAAAGTGCTTAACAATGGAAGTTAGGTGCAAAGTCAAACAATGGAGTGTCTTAATGATAAGAATCTCTGTATTTTAAAAGAGCCAAGTAAGGCTTATGACCTTAGTCCCATTGAAATGCTATGGTGTGATATAAAGCAGGTTGTAAAAGATATGGATGTAAGCTGTGCAAACCAGGAATTCTACACCTCAGTGATTTTTGATATATAGTTTTGTTTATATTATGTTTATTATTTAGTACATTTTAGTAATAGATTGGGTTTAAAGGAAAAAGACAAACATTCAATTCTGTAATGGGTTTGCAATTTGAAACACAATGTATTTGTATGTGTTTTATGCTGTGGATGAAGCATTTAGAAAAATACATGATCATCATTGCACCCAAATCCACAAGGACTAATTTCTTTAATTAGCATTTGAACAGCAAAAGACTCATCAAGATACTGCTACTGCTCAGAATATCTTGACCGTAGTTTCCATCAAAGCAGTAAACATTTTTTTTTATTTCTAGGAGGTTCAAAGAGGACGGTTTGAAGATAAGTACCAAGTTTTCCTGGACATCTGTGATCATTTCCATCCAGTGTTCCGCTACTTCTGCATGGAGAAGTTCTTGGATCCAGCAGTTTGGTTTGAGAAGCGTTTGGCTTATACACGTAGTGTTGCTACATCATCCATTGGTGTGTGTTACATGCTAGTTCTAATATTTTAGTTTTTTCCTAGTAGGTAGGAATTCAAATATTTAGAATGGAATGCCAGGCTATTGCTTGACTATGATTACACCTACTCCCTTTTAAAAAAAAAACCCTCTTCTGACTACCCTGTGAAAGGAAGATGCTTATACTTATTCTCAGGGTGCTCCTGTCTGGTCATGTGATCAGCCCCCAACGGCAGCTTCAGGAGAGAGGTGGGACAGCAGACAATGAAACAAGCATGGGAAGCACATGCCCTAGAGCGACAAACTTCCTTATTAAACCAAGATAAAATAAATGCTGTCACATGCTCCCGATATGATATCAAGCTAATCAAACAATGATTGAGTGGTAAGATGCTGGGAGTCCACCTTCAGAACCCCTGTATGGACACCACTAGTTGTTGTTCACTCAGCTATAAATTTTTCACCCTGTGCCGGTATATAGTAAGGCAAAGGGAAGAGCGAGGAGACGGTCGCAATAGTGTCATATATTTGACAGCTGCCAGAGATATAGAGGACTGGCAGTCACTCCATGTGCATCCGAAGGAGGCTGTGCGCTTTGCTATAGATACAATGTGTTTCGGGTGAAAAGGGAGGCCACGCCCCTGAAATGCGTTGTATCGATGGCAAGCTACACAGCCTTCACATGCACGCTGCTACTACCAATTGCTTGCTGGTCCTCCATTTCTCCAGCAGCTGTTCAGTAAATGCCGCTATAGCGGCCAGCTCCTCTCTCTTCTCTCTGCCTCACTATATGCTGGAACAAAGTGAAGAGTTTAAAGCCAAGTGAACAAAAGCTAGTGGTGTCCATACAATGGGTTCTGGAGGTTGACTCCGCATCTTATCACACAATAATTGTTTAATGAGCTTGATGTCCTTTCAGGAGCATGTGAGTGCATCACTTTATTTTATAATGGATTAATAAAGAAGTTTATCACACTAGGGCATGTGCTTCCCTTGCTTGTTTAGATTGTCCACAGTCCTTGTTCTGACAATTAAGGGATGGCTGCAAAGACCCTGACATAGTGAAGGCTGCAATCTTGGTTAGGAGCTCTTTGGCTGGACACACCTGCGTGTAAGAGTGGGATTAATGGTATACTGGGACAGCGGACAACGGATGCCCCATAGCCAGCCTATGGTTGACATCACTGCCCAGGCATTTTAGCTGTTGCCAGCATGTCCCTGCTCTCCCCTGAAGCTGGCCTGCTGGGGAGATCACGTGACTGGACTGGAGCACCCTCAGAAAAGGTAATTATAAGCATCTTCCTTTAACAGGGTAGTCTGAATAGGATTTATAAGGAGCTGGGAGCAGGTTTAAGTGTAGTTAGGCTAAAGCATGGAATTGCATTTTTAAGAATTGTACAATTACAGTAATAGGTCTCTTTCACTGGTATAACTAGCACTAGGGGCATCCAGTCCAAGGCCTCTCGAGCTGGATGAGGCCCAATCAGAATACTGGGCCTACATGTGCTGTTTGTCTGTGGTGTATGTTAAATACTCCCCACTAGATGCTTCACGCATTAGTATTTCAGTAATAGAAACATTTTTTTTCTTGTAGCTACTAATAAGATTCAAATGTTTATATTCAAGTTGTCATTTTCGAGGGCTAAATGTGTTTGCCAGCTATGTGGAAATACAGACAATTATTAGTACTGACACTTCAATACATAAGGACACAGGTGAGCAAGAACTTGCATGTATCAAAAGTTTCTAGAAAGGAAAATGTGTATGTCCAGAGAAACTAGTCCAAATTCAAAGATATGTTCCTCATGCACATTAAATAAATGAAGGTAACTGGCTACCAAGGATAACACAAAGGCTTTCTCTTTTGGATATTTTTATACATAAATTGCATTGTGAAAATTTACAGAGATATAATAGGAACAATTACCCTGGTTGTACAGTAAATTAAAATATACTGCACAGAGGGATTGATCATGTAATGCACAAGACTGTATGTGACAGTTGTGTTTTACACTGTGGAGCTGTATAATGGTTTATAGTTTTCCCAGGGTTTATCAGTAGAAAATCACAAACTCCTCATCGTTGCCTTCCCTGATTCTTATGAAAATTGCACTGGCACGTTTGGTTCGTACCGATATTGTACTACAGCTATACTGGAGGAAACAATTAGCTGCGATATTCCATGACTGATATCAGGGAGATATGAAAGTATAAAGTGGGAAAGGAAGAGGGCAAGAACTGTGCCTCAGATTTGCTCCTGGTCATCCCTGCTATGCAAGTAGGAAGACGTGTGAAACCAACGTCATCCTGCATCCATATTGGGCCAGTTTGTAGGGATTGGCACCTGCAGCTCTGCTGCTGCTTTTGAGTACAGAGAAGCCTGCAAGTATGGCTGCCTAATGTATGTACGCTCTGTACAAGTGTTTGGGGAGAGCTTTGCCTGTGCTGGAGGAGCAGTTAATAAAATGAAAATGTTCCTACAGCTTATCCTGCCTGCTCTCTGCTAAAGCTGTTACAAGTTATTCAATTTTAGGTTTTCATACAGGTACCCTTTAAAGATCCATTCACATTGGAAAAGATTGATTACATTTATTGTTTCCAAATTCATGCACATAAATGTAATTCCCTAAAAAGACTGGAGATACCCTTTTAAAATAATCCAGTTTTTTTTTCTTCTTTTGTTGTCAGTTGGTTACATTGTAGGACTTGGAGACAGACACGTCCAGAACATCCTGATGGATGAAGAGACAGCAGAACTCGTGCACATTGACTTGGGTAAGTGTTCAACTAGTATGAAGAGTCTAGTTAGTCAGGGGAGCACTTCTGGGTGTTGAAGCTGTTTATTAGAATAAATTACAAACCTGATGAAAAATCTCAGGAGCCCAATCCTTCCATCTCCTGTAGATGGTAAAATGTGAATGTGTGTGGTACAGACATTGTCCAGTCTGAGCTCTGCTAATGATTAGGTTGGAGGTACTCCATTAACCTCAGTAACGATTCTCGCTGGTACTCTGCAAAGGTGTGACTTGGTATAGCAAACTAAGAGTATATTTAATGCTCTGTAGGCCGACCTTTGTTGGAGAAATGGTACTGCTGATGTTGTCACTTAGGGGTGGAGGGGTGGGGCTGGCTACAACGTCCCCGCTGTAGGAGAGACCAGACTCTTCATTGCATACCTCGTCGATTCTGCAGCAGCTGCATTAAAGAGGAAAAGGCATATTCAGTGCCAGAACAAGGTCGACTAGCGCCCCCCCCCCCACCAGATGTATGAACATTGTGTAAAATCAACCCCCCTCATAAGAAAAAAAAATTGAGCGTTAATCTGCACACTTAAAATTCTCCCTGCTCCCAGTATAAATCACCCCTCCTAGCGCAAATCCTTTTTCCCTCTCTTAGCGCAAATCCCCCCTCCTAGACCAAATCCCCCCTAAATTTCCCCTGCTGGAACAAATTTTACCCATTATCCCCCAAATTCGGCCTCCCAGTAAAAATACCCCCAGATTTCCCCTCCTAGAACAAATCTTACCCCATCACCCACCAAATTCCCTCTCCAGCACAAATACCCCCCAACACCAAATTTCCCTGCTAGAACAAATGTTACTGTCGTCACCCCCCAAATTTCAATTTCCCCTACTGCCCTCCCACCACAAATCCCCCCCCCCCCCCTCCCAAATTTCCTTTTTTAGGACAAATCTTACTCCTGTCACCCCCCAAATTCCCCCCTCTCAGCACAAATCCCCCCAGATTTCCCCTCCTAAGCCAAATCTTACCCATCACTCCCATATCATCATCCCCCATCCCCGCCCCCCCCCAGCACAACAACATCCCCCAAATTCCCCCTCATAGCACAAAGCCATGCTGTTCCTCTTCCAGTTCAAGTTGAATTTCTGCCTATTCATCAGGGACCAGCCAAGATGCATCCATGGGCATGCTGATTGTACCCAAGTCCATCGACATGTGTAGAGCCAGCATGTCAGATTTTTAGCATGCAACTATTGCTAGCGGCTATAGCCACTAGCAGTAATCGTGTTCTCCTGGCAGGGAAAGCTCCCTGAGCCCCCTCCCCTGCCAGGAAAACACAATCGCTCCATGGGAGGGATCCCCCAAAGACCCGTGGATGCATAATCTATAACCTGCCTTAGTTTTGTATTGTGTGTTTTCTGTTTTGTAGGTGTTGCTTTTGAACAAGGCAAAATCCTCCCCACCCCGGAGACTGTACCTTTTCGCCTCACGCGAGATATTGTGGATGGGATGGGTATTACTGGAGTGGAGGGCGTTTTCAGAAGGTAGGCTTGTCTCCATTTTTCTAATTACCTGTCTGTTGCAAACCTATGACAGGCAAAGTGTGAAAACACATTGATTTGGTTAAAAACAGGCACAAGGGAAGTGGTTTGGACTGCTGTTTTTTCATACAAGAACACCATTACAAACTTCTAAACAGAACCTCAGAATTGGGAAAAAAAAGTTTTATACTAGTATTTAGTAAATAGTATAAAAAATAAAACTTCTATATTTGTTACATGTTTAATCAGACCATTAAAGTGACTTTATCACTATTTCCCTAGGAGCCTAGATAGTCACTTGATGTAAGCAACCACTATTTTGTTTGATTTTAGCCACAGATTTAAAGCAGAACTTAAGTGGACTTTTTAATAAATTGAGATAAGTAGCCTTTTTGTGAGAGAAGAGACTCTTTATGTGCACATGCTGTTCATTGTACAGTTTAGGCATGACTCTATGCCTGGATGAGGCAACTCCCCTGCGTATACACAGGAGTTACGTCATCCCGGCTGAGCCAGTCTAGATGTCAAAAGACTACACATCTGGAAGAAGTCTAGGCAAAGATAGAAGTAGTGACAACAGAGTAGCATAGAAGATTTCAGCCAATACATCCCTAGAGAACAGCACATTGCAACTGAAGTCTGTCATAACGTGCAGATACTCTCTGGTCCTGACTCAGCAGGGAACATGTCAGACCGCTGCTTCCACACAGAGAGCAAGAGTCCCAATCCATTGCATGCTGGACAAGGACAGACTCTTCTACTCAGGCTGTGGCTGCTTTAGAAAGAAAATGCACCTGGAATATATTTAGCTGATTGAAATAGAAGGTGTAATTGGGCTCTAAGGATAATTGTAGGGATTTGTTTGTTTTCCTTTTGGTCAGGAGTAAAAAATACATTTTTAAACATTTTATAATATAATAAACTCACCCTACATGTTGCAGTCAAGCTATACAATCTGTGCAATATCCTTTAAATTTATAAAACTCTATGGATGTACCTAAACTATCCATCAGTTTGTTCTCAGTCAATCCTCTGTACTACCTACGTGTTGGTAATTTTAAGAGGTTGTATACTCCAGTTGTATAAACAGTTGTCTCAAACTTAAACACAGAACTGAAAGGGGGTAATTCTCCTGACAGATATATGAATCTGTCACAGACACTGACAACAGAGGTGTGTAGGCTTCACTGAATTCTAAAGAGTGTCTACAACAGAAGTAACTCATCCCCAACCTTTTTCCTCTGCTCTGATCAGACCAGGCCCTATAGCGTGTCAGAGAGTGATAATCTAAAGACAAATATCTTCTGTTTTTGGTTAGAAAACCTATAATGCTTTGAGTAATGGGCGCACCCTTTATTAAAGGTTTATTTGTAAAAAAAAAAAACTAACTAAATAAAAATTTTATTTTGGATATTCGAGATAAGCAAAGTCCCTGTCAGTTTCTAATGCTCTTTGTGTACCCCCTGGAAGAATTCACTTCACTTTCCATCCTGTAGACACAACAGGACTTGAAAGGAAATCTCTTGAAAGTGAGGTAAAAGTCTTCTGAGACAGTGGTCACCGGAAGAAGTGCCCACATTGAAAGATTTCCTACCTAACTTCTCTGGTGACAACTGACAATTATGAATTTTCCTTGACTTTTAGCCCCAGTGACAACGGTCACTAGGATACATAGTCATTCTCCCTAGTAGAGACACAGTAATAAAACTCTAACAGGAGTTTGAAGCCCTCACCGCTTCATTAAAAAGTGAAAACAGTTTGGCTTTCGGTGCACTTTGAAGTCCAACTCCAAAAAAAAAGGTCTTTACGCTTTTTACCTGAATTATGGGAGTGTTGAATGTTTTTTTATGTGTTGGTAGATGCTGTGAGAAGACAATGGAAGTGATGAGAAGCTCTCAAGATGCTTTGCTGACCATTGTTGAGGTGAACCTGAATTTTGATGCTTTCCTAGGCTCTTCTGTTATTTAGAAACTGCAAGTCATTGCGTGCCGAGCTGCTGGTGAATAATAGCTACCTTAGTTAAAAAGCAATTTCTGGTAACCAGGAAAATTAATCTGTGAACTGTTAATGCCGTCCAGGAGGTATTGCTGCTGTGCAAAAGGTTGGAAAGTCCACTCACTTTGCCTTAACCCGAGTTCTCTGCAGTCCATTGCAGCTGACTTCCATATGTGTGGCTTGGGGGAACATCTTAGTTCAGACAGTATTAAAAATCAGGCTTTATACATCTAAGAAACAACAAGGATCATGCAGGGTGTGTGTTGGAAAGCCTTCTATTTATCACACACAGTTAAGTAAAAGGGGATCTCAAATCACAATATTACTAACACATGGCAGCATGTTGACTGGTGCACTACTGAAAAGGGAGGGGGATGGACTGGTGTTCTACAAAAGAGGCAGTGGAATAGATTGGTGACCAAAAGAAAAAAGGGAGTTTGAAGGATTGGTGCACTATAGTAAAAGGGGACCTCAAATCACAATATTACTAACACAAGGCAGCATGTTGACTGGTGCATTACTGAAAAGGGAGTGGGATGGACTGGTGTTCTACAAAAGAGGCAGTAGGATAGACTGGTGACCAAAAGAAAAAAGGGAGTATGATGGACTTTTGCACTATAGGAAAGGGAGTGGGTTTGACTGGTGCACTACAGAAAGGGCAGTTGGATGGACTAGTGCACTACAGAAAAGAGAGTGGGATGGACTGGTGTACTACAAAAAAAGGGAGTGGGATGGACTAGTGCAGTATAGGAAAGGGACTGGGATGGACTGGTACACTACAAAAAAAAGGAACTGGGATGGACTGTACACTATAGAATCTAGTTTGGGATGGATTAGTGCACTACAAAAAGGTAGTGGGATTAACTGGTGCACTAGAAAAAGGGAGTAGGATAAACTGGTGCACTGCAAAAAGGCAGTGGGATAGAATGGTGCAGTAATGCAATGCCTTTCTGAAAAACCAACGACCTGACTTAGTAGTTTGCACCATATGCAGTTTTGTCTGAAGTTAACCTAAGTTAGGAGTACCCCTTTCCCATCCAGTGCAGCCTGTGTGTCAAACAATGGCTGAAGAGAAAAGCATTGCCCTTATCTGCTATTAAAATATCTGGTTATGTTATCTAACCTGTGATGGAAGAAAGACAGCTGATTTCTCAGTGGTTGCTATGTTTGAGGACTGCTTCCTTTATTCTATTGCTACATGTTACAAATGAATGTTAATCTGTGGTTTTGTTTATTGTCATCACAAATTCCTTTACAGTCTGTCATTTTATTGTGTGTTGTTTTTTGGGTTACTATTCATATAATCCAGAGATAAATGTAGTTGTAAAGTATAGAAATAGACTTTCTGTATGTAATATATCATGTACTTTGGTTGGACAGGTGCTGCTTTATGACCCTCTCTTTGACTGGACTATGAATCCTCTGAAAGCTCTTTACCTGCAGCAGGATGAAGCGGAACTTAATGCTACACTTGCCGAGGACCCAGAATGCAACAGGAACACCTGGTATAGCAGCCTTATCTTGTGGTGAAATTAGGCCAATAGAACTTAAAAATATAATTAAAAATAAAACTTGTTTTCAGTTTTTGATAGAGTGGAGAGGGATTAGAACACAGGGGTTTTATTGCTCTCTGTGTCTCAGTTAGGGAGAGTCAACCTCCTTATACAGTTGTGTTCAAAATAATAGCAGTGTGTTGAAAAAAGTGAATAAAGCTCAAAATCCTTCTAATAGCTTTTATTTCCATACACACAAATGCATTGGGAACACTACACATTCTATTCCAAATCAAAACATGAAGAAAAATATATCACATTTGTGTTGTTCCTCTAAAAAAAAAAAATGAAGAAAAGTGAATATTAGACTGTTCAAAAAAATAGCAGTGTTTGTATTCTTCTTTACAAACTCAAACATTCACTATATAAACTGAAAAATGTTTGAAGATTTTGCTTTCCTTTGAATCACTTAATTAATATTTAGTTGTATAAGCACTGTTTCTGAGAACTCCTGTACATCTGTGTTGCATGGAGTCAACCAACTTCTGGCACCTGTCAACAGGTATTCCAGCCCAGGATGATTGGACTACATTCCACAGTTCTTCTCTATTTCTTGGTTTTGCCTCAGAAACTGCATTTTTTTATGTCACCCCACAAGTTTTCTATTGGATTAAGATCTGGGGATTGGGCTGCCCACTCCATAACGGCAATCTTGGTCTGGAACCAAGATGTTGCACGTTTAATGGTGTGTTTGGGGTCATTGTCTTGTTGGAACACCCATTTCAAGGGCATTTCCTCTTCAGCATAAGGCAGCATGACCTCTTCAAGTATTCTGATGTATTCAAACTGATCCATGATCCCTGGTATGCGATAAATAGGCCCAACACTGTAGTATGAGAAACATCCCCATATCATGATGCTTGCGCAACCATGCTTCACTGTCTTCACAGTGTACTGTGGCTTGAATTCAGTGTTTGGGGGTCGTCTGACAAACTGTCTCCGGCCACTAGACCCAAAAAGAACAATCTTACTTTCATCAGTCCACAAAATGTTGCGCCATTTCTCTTTAGGCCAGTCAATGTGCTCTTTGGCAAATTGTAACCTCTTCAGCACATGTCTTTTTTTCAAAAGTGGGACTTTGCGGGGGCTTCTTGCAGATAGCTTGGCTTCACATAGGCGCCTTCTAATTGTAACAGTACTCACAGGTAACTTTAGACCTTCTTTGATCTTCCTGGAGCTGATTGTTGGCTGAGTCCTTGCCATTTTGGCTATTCTTCTATCCATTCGAATGGTAGTTTTTGGCTTTCTTCCACATCTTTCAGGTTTTGGTTGCCATTTGAAAGCATTTGCGATCATTTTAGCTGAGCAGCCTATCATTTTCTGCACTTCTTTATATGTTTTCCCCTCTCCAATCAACTTTTTAATCCAGGTACGCTGTTCTTTTGAACAATGTCTGGAATGACCCATTTTCCTCAGAATTTTTGAGAGAAATGCACTGTAACCAGCATGTACAACATTTGCTGCCTTCCTTCCTTAAATAAGGGCAATAATTGCCACCTGTTTTTCAAAGAATGAATGACCTCACTAATAGAACTCCACACTGCTAATATTTTGAACATGCCCCTTTCAATTAGTGATTCAATAACACAGAATCAGCAGCATGCATGTCATGACTGTTGGGTCTGTTGGATTTCTATTACTCTACTACACCTGCTAGTAAATTATTTGCCATGTAGAAATGTAATTTCTACCAAAAACAGTGATTGATCAGGTTAGCGATGTCTGACTGCTATTATTTTGAACACAACTGTATGTCTTGGTGACTGTTGTCAGCAAAAGTGAGGAAAACACAAATTTTGAATGCAGGATAACAGGATATGATGGAAAATTTTCCAGTGGGTGCATTCGTTCTGGTGACTACCAGGGATGTTTCAAAAGAATACATGGTGTAGAACATTTATGTATTTTAAAGTATTACACTATGCATACTTTGGAAATGTAAAAGAGAAAATGTGGTAACAGAACTGCAAGAAATACCCTTATCTTGAAATATTTTCTATAGCAAGCAAGAATAGAAGAGATAAATGATAGGGGAAAGGTATGAAAAGGGTAGGGAACATATAAAAACTTGGTGTTAGGAGAGTAGAGAGCAGATTGGGCAGAGAGAGAAGACCAAGGAATAAGAACACTGAACCGATGACCAGTTCTTTGAGCTCACTGGAATGGAACATCAGCGCAACCAGGATGTATTAACCATCTGTCTTTATTTACTTTTAGTTGTATCTGCTTATAACTGACATCTCAATATTGGCAGGTGCCACTGAGCAAATATACACTATATGGACACATGTTTGTGAACACCCGACGTGCCCGACAAAAATAACAACCACAGCAATTTAAATCTAGCTTATAAGAGCATACTTGCTTTTCATTTATCTTATTGCTGTATGTGATCCAACATTGAGGCTCTCATAGGGTAGAGTTAGGATTGCACTATACAGAGGGACCTTGACAAGGCAGTGTGACTTCCACATGTATTAGAAAATTGTGTGCAAATAAAAATGGTTAGTGTAATTTTTTTTTTATGCTGACTAGCTGGTAAGTGTGTTGGGAAACTTTTGGGGGTTTTTTTGTCATATACATCTCTAGGTTTTAACTGGGAGTCACTTTAAGCTTGTATGCCAGTTGCCACTGGAGTGAAAAGACCCACAAGAAATTTACCTACACAGTCAATAGTGGGTTGTTCAATGCTTTTGTTTCCAGCATTTTTGTATATCTCTGCAATTCCGTATTTTGTTGTTTTTTTTTTTTTCTTTTCTTCTCCTAGCAGTGATTCACAGAGCTTCAATAAAGTGGCAGAACGTGTCCTCCTCCGACTCCAGGAGAAACTGAAGGGGGTAGAAGAGGGGACAGTGCTGAATGTAGAGGGACAAGTGAATCTTCTTATCCAGCAAGCCATGGATCCAAAGAACCTGAGTCGGCTGTTCCCTGGCTGGAAAGCCTGGGTTTAATGTGTGCACTGCTCTCCACCATACAGAACTGAGGAAGTCTGTACAGGGAATATACCTAAAGTGTATCTTAGGTCAAATCTTTTTGTGTACCTGTTAATGAAGAGAAATCTCCCCATTAGGAAACAGGAAAAAAAAAAATGATGGGTGTTTTAGTCATTCACCACTCATTATCTGTATGAAACGGGTAAAAAGTTTGACTTTAGATAAAATGTAAAGCCCAACTAGCACCTTTAGTTTAAATCAGATGAATGCATTCCAGCTGTATCAAAACAGTGTTCAAAGTCTTACAATTTCTTTTCTTTAGAATGCAGGCACAGCCTGTGAGTGCGAGTCTGTCCTCTACCAGCATGCTACAGAGGACAGCCCTTGCATTTTCTCAGGAAGCAGTGGTCTATCTGCAGAGAGCTACAACTCTCAAATCAGCAGGGAATGCGAGCTTTGCTGATTGCAAAGGTCTGACTTAGCAAGAGGTATATTCGACCTCTGCAGAAAAACCAATGCTTCTGCACAGTAAGCAAGAGTCCCACACTGTAGCATGCTGGCAGGGGACAGACTTTTCTACTCAGGGGTGTGGCTGCTTTCTAAAAAGAAAAAACAAACTGTAAGACTTTGAACACAGTTTGACAGTTTGTTTTGATGCTCCTATTTTATATATATATATATATATATATATATATATATATATATATATATATATCTATATCATACTTAAACTGAAATTAGGCTTTAAGGGAAGTGAAATGTAGAGAAAACAATATTCTAGTTGCAGTCCAGTCAGGTGGCCATTGTGTTGAAAGACTTTTCTGTGTCCACACCAGACCTAAACACCCATTGATTACCTTATCTCACTTGTGATTTCATATAAATTGCACCTGTCACCAATCCACACCCAGTGTGGCTGATTTAGGTAATGGTTCATGATCATTTCTTTTGTTTTAAACTTATACTGGGAGAACATAGTCCGTAATCTAGTGTCTGTTGACAACAGGCACTTTTCTTTTGTGAAGGGTTATTATAGGTAAAACAGATCTTGTTTCGGGCATTTTTTTAAATGAGGTCCATTGCATTGCAAACACCTGTTAGAAATCTTTTACAAGAACCAGCCATATAAGAGAAGTTTTGTGTAATCTTTCTTTATCCCTGTAAAATCCATTTCTATGCTACATTATGTACTTTTTCAATTGGCTGTAGCTTAGACTTCTTACTCTTTCACCTCTTTACACAGCATTGGGAAGCCCAGTTTCTCTGCACTTTGGTGGGAGGAGTGAAGCTTTTCAGAACCCATACGGAAAGCATGGTATTGTATTGCCAGTGCAATTCACAGCAACCCCTGATATTACTCACTGTCTGTGATAGGCCCGGTACCCCCTCAGGCCTGACTTCACAAACCCTGACAGAGGCTCCAACCCTTCCTCACTCTGTCCAACAGAAAATAGAAAGTTTGGAAAATGGAATTTAAAAAAATTAGGATTTTATCATTCAGTAGCAGAATCTGAGCAAATTGTTTTCTTCTCCCTCTGGGCTAACTCCACATTTGGAATGGTTTCTAGCACAGATACAGCATAATATTGTAGTCATTTATTCCATCTTGCATACAGCTCTTTCAGGCTTATGCTCATCACAAGTACAAGGTATCAAAACCCATGGCTCCTCTGAAGTAAGGTTGGAGAGTAATGGATTCTGCTTACCAGTCAATTCTACTGTAAGGTGGAAAAAAGGACCCGAAAAGCCAATCACTAGAAGACTGTACATGTATCTGTAGTTTCCATACCTAGCACAGACTGTGGCCATAAAGCCTTATGTGTTGGTAAATAGTTCTGCAATATGAGGTTGTGTCTGTGCTTTTAATAGGTACATATAAAGCAGGCATATCAAACCTGTGTTCTAGGGCACACTGCTCTCTTGATCCATCTTTGCATCCCTCAGTAATATAGGAATTTAAAGTGAATGAAGCCCTCATTATTCTGAAGTTAATAAAAAGCTATGTTTTCATATGTAATTTTGTTGTTCAGTAGTTTTCAAGAACTATTTTAAAGCCTCTTTTAGGGCTACAGGCTGTCACACCTCCCCCAGTTTTATACTTAATGTATTTTTTTAATACTTAGAGTGGAATTACATTGTATCTGAGCACCACAATCCAAAAGCGCTATTTAATTCATTTTTAATATTCAACGCAAACTTCTCTATCCATCCATGTCTCTATGCTGTATTTTGCTGAGAAATCTCAAAAACACCCCCCTGGCATTTCTGGCCATCGCCAACTTGAGTGAAAGTAGATGATTCTTGAAGCAAATACTTCCTGGGATTCATCTGCCCTTAGCTCAGGCATGCAGACTGGAGGGTCTACTAACGTCTAACATTCCTTTCTGCCTATGCAGTGTTTCCTCTTCATAAACTTTGCCCTATGATGATATGCCTGGCTGTTGACCTTGATTTTGGCTTAGCAAGGAGGCAAGGATACGCAGAGGGAGGAGGGAGCCAAAGCAGCAGACTGCAGTTAAGCCCTCCTGAGCTGCTTTCCATGTCTGGTGCAGACACAGCATAGAACAGAGGTTTGTGTCCCTTTTGTCAATTGGGAGTATCACCTGCTCATTTTTTTAGTTTAGAAGAATGGTGCAGGCTTTATGCCTGCATCACTGTTTGTTAATTCGCCCCATTGTTTGTATTTGTGGTGGATATTTGTGGGACAAATAGCCAGCTCATACCACACTTTCCAGTTGCTGGCTGTAATTTGCTGCTCAGCATAATTGTGGTTCATTACCGACAAACTTATTTAGATTGAATCTATTAATTGATTTACTATAAATTGTTCTTCAAAATTAGGTTTACTTTAATGTTTGGATATGTATTGTGCAGGATAACTGTGTTGCTCTCCGGTAGTTATATTTTATGTAAACAACTGCTATGAATATTACAACTGGACCTGTTATGTGTTAACAGCAATGTAGTGATTCATTAAATTCTGGTGAAATGATTGAGTGAATTACCAGGAACAGACTAAGCCCTGGTACACACTAATGCAGTGCGGAATTTGCAGCGGTTTCAGTGCGAATTCCTCACTGCATCACAATTGCACCCCTTTCCTGTGAACCGCTAAGGGTGTGTATGTTAAGTTAACAACACCCCGAAAGCGGTTTTCAAAACACAGTGCGATGTACAGAGTTGGATTGCATAGGTGTGAATACCTATGCAATTTGATTCTAGTGCGTACCAAAAAAGAGTCCTGCACGTTTTTGGTGCAGTGCGAATAGAGCCATACAAAATGTATGGCTCCAATCGCACCGCACACAAATCGCATGTGATTTGTACAGGAATGCGGAGCAGTTCCTGTGCGAATCACATGCTATTGACCGCACCGCACTGATGTGAACCCAGGCTAATAAAAATGACAAATGTCCACCTTTAAGCAGCATAAAAAATAAAAATACAGAATTCTACATAAGGATATGCCTTAAGCATATGTGCCCCCTTGAAGTTGTCCTTGTCTGAGAGGTATGTGGGGTCTGCCATTGCTGAAATAATGAAAATGTCTTTTGCCTGGCTGTTGTGCTCTCTGACTATGAACAGACTTGGGTGATGTTTGCAGATCTGAGAAGTTAGAGAAAAAAATGTCTTATTGAATACCTATTGTGGATTAGTGACTGGAAAGTATTGAATCCAGAGGGAAAGAATTCAGACAGGTAACTAGATTTTCCCTAAGAGATGTCAACAATGGCAGATTTTGTGTTTTCAATACATTAAGTGCACAGACCTAAGGGGAAAACATTGTTCCTTATTAAAGTCCGACAAGTTCCTAAAAAAAAAAAAAATAGATAAGTTTTAAAGAAAAATGTTTAGTATAAGAGGGGTATGCATTATTTTTAATGAACTGTGTGTCCTCTTTCAAACATAAAGTGAAATAATCTTGTTGGCCATGTTGCTCTGTATATTTTTGTTCCTATTAAAGACAGGTATTGTAAATAGATACTGTGTGTGTTTTTCTGAAATTACTCAGTCCTTGCTCAGTGTCACAGTGTGCAAGCCTGGCAATTGACTACTTAGATGCTAAATGCTGAATTGTGAGGTGGCAGGTGTGAGTGTAATATTACCCCATCCTTCGCAGTACACTGTATTCCTCAGGGCTCTGGAGGCAGGGGAGCACAGGTAATAAAAAACAACTTTTTACTTTGCTATTATTGGCAAATTGCAGGGTAATTTTATGATTCTCCTTTTTCAGTAGGGTTAATTGACCATAATCAACACAGGGACAGCTCTGAAAATTCATACTGGATAAAGTTTGTACCAGTGAAGATTATGGCATTAATGTTCTCAGACAGCTTTTGAGGACATCGCATGTTGATGACAAAACATATAGAGCGGGAATTCCGGGTGGCGTCATATATGCTACTTGGAGTGCACGACAGCCATATTGGCCATAGTGTGATATTTGGAGCACTACAGGTTTTTTAAGGGCACCACAAGTGGCGCACAGATATCATATACCTTGGTTGGAGGCCGAACTGACGAGAGGGCTTCCATTGCAGCTATGGTCCGAGCATCCCTGAAGGTGGTGACAGAGGTACAAGGCTCAAAGAAGCACGGGTGCCAGTAGCTTGGTAGCAGGTAACTGCCAGGGTCAGAGACATAGTCAGGATGAGCGAGGGTCATACACAATGAGGCAGAAGGGTGGTCAGGTAGCAGGCTGGGGTCAATACCAAAGAAGCAGGCAGAGCGAGGTCCAATAACAAGCTGAGGTCAGAACCAGGGAAGCAGGCAGAGAATAGTCAGAGGCAAGCCAAGGTCGGTCAAATCCACAGAGCAAGGTCAGGAACTAGCTGGGTTAGCAATGGGAGATCAATCAGCACAAGCAAGAACACAGGTCACGGGGTAAATGAAGAAAATCCAGTAAGTAGAACACACCTGGGTCTCCTTTAAATAGGCAGCTTGGCGCCAATGCACGTGGAGGAGCGTGCCAATGTGCCTACATGTCAGTGTACGCTGGATATTAGCCCGAGCTTGTT